CCGTTGAAGATGGAGGTGTTCTCTAGGGTCAGCATTTACAGGTATACCATCTAGTTGATTATGATTCCACCGTTGATTATGATCCATTGATTTTGATTCCATCGTTGATTATGATTCCCCCGTTGAAGATGGAGGTGTTCTCTAGGGTCAGCATTTACAGGTATACCATCTAGTTGATTATGATTCCACCGTTAATTATGATCCGTTGATTATGATTCAACCGTTGATTATGATTCCACCGTTGATTATGATTCCACCGTTGATTATGATTCCATGATTATGATTCGACCGTTTATTATGATTCCACCGTTGAAGATGGAGGTGTTCTCTAGGGTCAGCATGTACCGGTATACCATCTAGTTGATTATGATTCCACCGTTGATTATGATTACACCGTTGATTATGATTCCACCGTTGATTATGATTCCAACGTTGATTATGATTCCACTGTTGATTATGATTCCACCGTTGAAGATGGAGGTGTTCTCTAGCGTCAGCATTTACAGGTATACCATCTAGTTGATTATGATTCCACCATTGATTATGATCCATTGATTATGATTCCACCGTTGATTATGATTCCACCGTTGATTCTGATTCCACCATTGAAGATGGAGGTGTTCTCTAGGGTCAGCATGTACCGGTATACCATCTAGTTGATTATGATTCCACCGTTGATTATGATCCATTGATTATGATTCCATCGTTGATTATGATTCCACCGTTGAAGATGGAGGTGTTCTCTAGGGTCAGCATGTACCGGTATACCATCTAGATGATTATGATTCCACCGTTGATTATGATTCCACTGTTGATTATGATTCCACCGTTGAAGATGAAGGTGTTCTCTAGGTTCAGCATGTACATGTAAACCATCTAGTTAATTATGATTCCACCTTTGATTATGATTCCACTATTGATGATGGAGGTGTTCTCTAGGGTCAGCATGTACCGGAATACCATCTAGTTGATTATGATTCCACCGTTGAAGATGGAGGTGTTCTCTAGGGTCAGCATGCACAGGTATACCATCTAGTTGATTATGATTCCACCGTTGATTATGATTCCACTGTTGATTATGATTCCACCGTTGAAGATGAAGGTGTTCTCTAGGTTCAGCATGTACAGGTAAACCATCTAGTTAATTATGATTCCACCTTTGATTATGATTCCACTATTGATGATGGAGGTGTTCTCTAGGGTCAGCATGTACCGGTATACCATCTAGTTGATTATGATTCCACCGTTGATTATGATTCCACCGTTGAAGATGGAGGTGTTCTCTAGGGTCAGCATGTATAGGTATACCATCTAGGACCAACATTAACATGCTAACATCATGTATAGATACAATCACCCATGTACTGTACACAGGGACATTTCTGCTACCTTTTGACCATGCCTTTTCCGCCCTCCATAATAAGGGCGAATTTATGCTGACAGCAAATATCAGTACACACCATACAACTTGTGTACACACCATACAACTTGTGTACACACCAAACAACTTGTGTATGCACCATACAACTTGTGTACACAACATACAACTTATTTACACACCATACAACTTATGTACACAACATACAACTTGTGTACACACCATACAACTTGTGTACACACCATACAACTTGTGTTCACAACATACAACTTGTGTACACACCATACAACTTATGTACACACCATACAACTTGTGTACACAACATACAACTTGTGTACACAACATACAACTTGTGAAGGGCAAAATAAACATAAGGCGAACATTGATTTTATCGGCAGAGGGCAAATGTCTGACTGGGCGAATAGTTTCCCAGTTTACATTATACACTCCAGAATTACTCTAGGGTCTATATATACACTCCAGAATTACTCTAGGGTCAATATTTACACTCCAGGATTACTCTAGGGTCTATATATACACTCCAGAATTACTCTAGGATCTATATATACACTCCAGAATTATTCTAGGGTCTATATATATACACTCTAGGAGCAATAGATACACATACAACTTGTGTACACACCATACAACTTGTGTACACACCATACAACTTGTGTACACACCATACAACTTTTGTACACACCATACAACTTGTGTACACAACATACAACTTGTGTACACAACATACAACTTGTGAAGGGCAAAATAAACATAAGGCGAACATTGATTATATCGGCAGAGGGCAAATGTCTGACTGGGCGAATAGTTTCCAAGTTTACATTATACACTCCAGAATTACTCTAGGGTCTATATATACTCTCTAGAATTACTCTAGGGTCTATATATACACTCCAGAATTACTCTAGTGTCTATATATACACTCCAGAAGTACTCTAGGGTCTATATATACACTCCAGAATTACTCTAGGATCTATATATACACTCCAGAATTACTCTAGGGACTATATATACACTCCAGAATTACTCTAGGGTCAATATTTACACTCCAGGATTACTCTAGGGTCTATATATACACACCAGAATTACTCTAGGGTCAATATTTACACTCCAGGATTACTCTAGGGTCTATATATACACTCCAGAATTACTCTAGTGTCTATATATACACTCCAGAAGTACTCTAGGGTCTATATATACACTCCAGAATTACTCTAGTGTCTATATATACACTCCAGAATTACTCTAGGGTCTATATGTACACTCCAGAATTACTCTAGGGTCTATATATACCCTCCAGAATTAACTCTAGGGTCTATATATACACTCCAGAATTACTCTAGGGACTATATATACACTCCAGAATTACTCTAGGGTCTATATATATACACTCTAGGAGCAATAGATACTCTATGCTGAGGAAATCAACACATTATTGTATCATTGAATGCCAAAAAATACAAAAAGGTTAAGTCTTGATTTTAAAACATACAAAATTATTATTTATAAAGTTTTGAAATTAAAGTTTAGATAAACATTATATTTGACATTAAAACAACTATTACCTGCCATTGGACACCATAGAACTTTGAGATAAGGGATATATTCAGGGCAGCTGAGTTCATATTGACTAGAATTATAATTGGGCGTTATGAAAAGAAGCATGTCGCCTCAGTTCTGATCAATATACATTAATTTCCCCAAACAGATCCTCATTACTGCTAAAGAGTCTAGACATTGTAAGGCTGAGCTCAGGCTTGTACAGACATCAGACCTATCCAACCGGCCTCATCATATTACTGGGTTGGCTTTATTCCCTTTGGTACTGGTGTACTTCCTGGCTAGACAGATTCTGGGTAAGTCCAAATCTACCAGACAAAGGTTAGCGACCCCTTGGAACTGGCATCTCTCTCATTACACATCAGGGAATTGACAGATGGCCCATAACAATTGAGCCTTAGGGTGGAGCAATGCTACATATGTACCTTTAATTCTATCATGCCATACTTACATGTTAAATTAGCCCCGAGTAATATATATAGTCAACCTTCCCTGATACTTATAACATACTGTTACCATCATTGCAAGCTTCACATACAAACATCGGGATCAATATCATAGACAAGAGATGAAAGGCTTTAAAGAATTATAAAGATGCTTTTATATTTATGACTCATATTTATTCCAAAAAATATTTCAAAGGATATGCAGTATCAAAACGAAGTAAGTTATTGGTTACCAGTATTAAATATTCTGGTTGAAAGTCATAAAGCTAACTAGGAATGTAGCTTATTGACAGCGGTGTGTGTTATTGTCCAGGAATAGGTCTTACTGGCAGTGTAGGTAAGGATTAGTGAGAACATCCCTCAGCATCAGGACACATAGTGTTAGAGGAGAGCATTCCTCAGCATCAGGACATGTAGTGTTAGAGGAGGGTTATCTGTTAATTAGTAGAGACCCATATCTTACCAGGCTAGATGTAAACACACAGCTGACATGTAAACAATCCAGCCTCCCCATCTAGGTAGTGTGAATGTTTCAATATGCCCGAGACTAAGAAGGATATTGGTCTTCAGGACTGTAAGTATTTCAAACATTAGGAGACTTCAGGTTTATGTTTATTCAGGAAGTCTATATCTTATGTCTAGTTCTACAAACACTTTGTTTCTACTGATCTCCATGTACTAACTGTGTCCAGCAGATTGGTGATGCTTAGTTCTTGAATGAACACAGAAGTAGTTAGTATTTACACAATGATATTGTTCAGAAAGAAATAATAAGGTGGCTCGGTGGCACATGACAGGATATTTGGTTGACCATGTCGTTTTCTCGAATTAATCTGGTTTCATCATCCCACATAAGACAACAGTGCTTCTATCTAGTCCAACAAAAGTGATTGATATTAGGTGGGAAAAGTTGCTTCACATTTGTTGTGAAATAAATATTTATGGTTTTTGTAAAAGTGTGTTAGTTTTCTTAAAGATTTAATTATCAAAATAAAACAAATCTGCAAGTAATTTTTTCATCAAATCTAATTAAACAACATAACATTGTTCTCACCCTAATATGAAATTGAATCAGAAACCAAAATTGACAAAATAGCTATCATTCAATGATGTAAGGTTGTGTGACATTGATGGTTTTAATTTCCTTATTCCCTAAAGGTTCGGCTCTATTTATCATTGTTACATACCAATAGTCTCTCCCTCGCACAGTAGCAGCCTCAAACAGAAGCTGTGTGTCTGGCAACACACATGTTGATCCTGTGGAACGGCAGACCATTAAATAGAAATAATTAGGAAGGCTGTTAAACATGCAATGAAGGTTTGATTACGGGTGGCAGGTTGTGTAAATACAGAGCAGCAGGCTGTGTATTCTCAAAAATACCAAAGTTTTGATCTTGTGCCACAATTCCAGGATCACAAATTCCATGGAAATCTAGTGTGTATTCTCATGTAAACAGCAAGTCATTTGTATGTAATCTAGACTGATTGAATTGATATAGGCACCTGCCTAGGTAAACGGAGTATGAACTCTGAAGGGACAATACATCCCACTAGCATAGGAGCCCTATGTATGTAAAGTATGACACTAGGAGCCCCATGTATGTAAAGTATGACACTAGGAGCCCCATGTATATTAAGTATGACACTAGGAGCCCCATGTATGTAAAGTATGACACTAGGAGCCCCATGTATGTAAAGTGTTATGCGAAGAGGGATGGTCACACTGGGAGCCTCATATATATCAAATATGAATTAAAAAGGAATGAGGGCACTAACAGCCCTTTGTGTAAACGAGTATTATTCTGAAAGGTGGGATCGATCTGTATGAGAGCCCTTGTGTATAGAGAATAATTTCTAAATGGAGAGCTGGTTATATTAAGAGACTCATGTATAAAGAGAATAATTTCCAAAGGGAAAGGAGTCTCATTGAGAGCCTCTTGTTGAGAGAGGATAATTTCTAAAGGGAGAGGAGTCTCATTGAGAGCCTCATGTATAAAGAGAATAATTTCCAAAGGGAGAGGAGTCTCATTGAGAGCCTCATGTATAGAGAGAATAATTTCCAAAAGGAGAGGAGTCTCATTGAGAGCCTCATGTTGAGAGAGGATAATTTCTAAAGGGAGAGGAGTCTCATTGAGAGCCTCATGTATAAAGAGAATAATTTCCAAAAGGGGAGAGTCTCATTGAGAGCCTCATGTATAGAGAGAATAATTTCTAAAGGGAGAGGAGTCTCATTGAGAGCCTCGTGTATAAAGAGAATAATTTCCAAATGGAGAGGAGTCTCATTGAGAGCCTCATGTATAGAGACAATGATTTTTCAAGGGATGGGCCGGGGGTCTCATGGAGAGCCGCGTGTGTTAAGAGAATACTTTCTCAAGGGATGAGGTCTCATGGAGAGCCTCATGTGTATAGAGAATAATTTCTCTAGCGATGAGGTCTCAAGGAGAGCCTCATGTGTTAAGAGAATAGTTTCTAAAAAGAGAAGGGAGCAGCTAGAGCCCATGTCTATAGAATATGATTTTTTGAAGAATTAAGTATCTCATTGAGAGCCCTTTGTGTAAAGAGTATAATATGTAAGGGAAGGTTCTCATGATAAATGATGTCTTTGAAGAAAATAATGACAGATTACATAAAATCCATGCTGTCAAATGTTGTTGAACTCACAGGTACTATGTCACTAGAGGCAATGGTGTATGTACCATGTCACTAGAGGCAATGGTGTCTGTACCATGTCACTAGAGGCAATGATGTCTATACCATATCACTAGAGGCAATGATGTCTATACCATATCACTAGAAGCAATGGTGTCTGTACCATGTGACTAGAGGCAATGGTGTCTGTACCATGTCACAAGAGGCAATGGTGTCTGTGCCATATCACTAGAGACAATGGTGTCTTTACCATATCACTAGAGGCAATGGTGTCTGCACCATGTCACTAGAGGCAATGATGTCTATACCATGTCACTAGAGGCAATGGTGTCTGTACCATGTCACTAGAGGCAATGATGTCTATACCATATCACTAGAGGCAATGATGTCTATACCATATCACTAGAAGCAATGGTGTCTGTACCATGTGACTAGAGGCAATGGTGTCTGTACCATGTCACAAGAGGCAATGGTGTCTGTGCCATATCACTAGAGACAATGGTGTCTTTACCATATCACTAGAGGCAATGGTGTCTGCACCATGTCACTAGAGGCAATGATGTCTATACCATGTCACTAGAGACAATGGTGTCTGCACCATGTCACTAGAGGCAATGATGTCTATACCATATCACTAGAGGCAATGGTGTCTATACCATATCACTAGAAGCAATGATGTCTATACCATATCACTAGAGGCAATGATGTCTATACCATATCACTAGAAGCAATGATGTCTATACCATATCACTAGAGGCAATGATGTCTATACCATATCACTAGAAGCAATGATGTCTATACCATATCACTAGAGGCAATGATGTCTATACCATATCACTAGAAGCAATGATGTCTATACCATATCACTAGAGGCAATGATGTCTATACCATATCACTAGAAGCAATGATGTCTATACCATATCACTAGAGGCAATGATGTCTATACCATATCACTAGAAGCAATGATGTCTATACCATATCACTAGAGGCAATGATGTCTATACCATATCACTAGAAGCAATGATGTCTATACCATGTCACTAGAGGCAATGGTGTCTGTACCATGTCACTAGAGACAATGGTGTCTGTGCCATGTCACTAGAGGCAATGATGTCTATACCATGTCACTAGAGGCAATGGTGTCTGTGCCATATCACTAGAGACAATGGTGTCTGTACCATATCACTAGAGGCAATGGTGTCTGTGCCATATCACTAGAGACAATGGTGTCTGTACCATGTCACTAGAGGCAATGGTGTCTGTACCATGTCACAAGAGGCAATGGTGTCTGCACCATGTCACTGGAGGTAATGGTGTCTGTACTATGTCACTAGAGGCAATGGTGCCTGTACCATGTCACTAGAGGTAATGGTGTATGTACCATGTCACTAGAGGTAATGGTGTCTGTACCATGTCACTGGAGGTAATGGTGTCTGTACCATGTCACTGGAGGTAATGGTGTCGGTACCATGTCACTAGAGACAATAGTGTCAGATATCATTGAAGGCAATGGTTTGAGATGTCATTGGTTCTAAAAAGTAATGAATGTCTTTGTACATTCACTTTATTGTCTTACAACACATTAAATGTGATGATGTTGTCATTACAGTCCGAGCTGATGGAGCCAATGATGGAGGGTCTGTTGGATGCTGTGGATACATCCTGTGGTTCCTGTCCCTTGTGGTGATTGCCTTGACCTTTCCTGTCTCACTGTGCCTTTGTATCAAGGTAGGAAACCTTTCCTGTCTCACTGTGCCTTTGTTTAAAGGTCGGAAACCTTTCCTGTCTCACCGTGCCTTTGTATCAAGGTAGCCTGTCCCTTGTGGTGATTGCCTTGACCTTTCCTGTCTCACTGTGCCTTTGTATGAAGGTAGGAAACCTTTCCTGTCTCTCTTTGCCTTTGTATCAAGGTATGAAACCTTTCCTGTCTCACTGTGCCTTTGTATCAAGGTAAGAAACCTTTCCTGTCTCCCTGTGCCTTTGTTTAAAGGTAGGTTTGTATCAAGGTAGGAAACCTTTCCTCTCTCACTGTGCCTTTGTATTAAGGTAGGAACCCTTTCCTGTCTTACTGTGCCTTTGTATCAAGGGAGGAAACCTTTCTGTCTTACTGTGCCCTTGTATCAAGGTAGGAAACCTTTCTGTCTTACTGTGCCCTTGTATCAAGGTAGGAAACCTTTTCTGTCTCTCTATGCCTGTGTATCAAGGGAGGAAACCTTTCTGTCTTACTGTGCCCTTGTATCAAGGTAGGAAACCTTTCCTGTCTCACTGTGCCTTTGTATTAAGGTAGGAAACCTTTCCTGTCTTACTGTGCCTTTGTATCATGGTAGGAAAACTTTTCTGTGTCTTTATGCCTGTGTATCAAGGCAGGAAATCTTTCCTGTCTCTCTTTGCCTTTGTATCAAGGTAGGAAACCTTTCCTGTCTCACTGTGCCTTTGTATCAAGGTAGGAAACCTTTCCTGTCTCTCTGTGCCTTTGTATCAAGGGAGGAAACCTTCCCTGTCTCTTTATACATTTTTATCAAGGCAGGAAACCTTTCCTGTCTCTCTATGCCTTTGTATCAAGGTAGGAAACCTTTCCTGACTCACTGTGCCTTTGTAGCAAGTTAGGAAACCTTTCCTGTCTCTCAGCCTTTGTATCAAGGTAGGAAACCTTTCCTGTCTCACTATGCCTTTGTATCAAGTTAGGAAACCTTTCCTGTCTCTCAGCCTTTGTATCAAGGTAGGAAACCTTTCCTGTCTCACTGTGCCTTTGTATCAAGGTAAAACCCTTTCTGTCTCACTGTGCCTTTGTATTAAGGTAGGAACCCTTTCCTGTCTCACTGTGCCTTTGTGTAAAGGTAGGAAACCTTTCCTGTCTCACTGTGCCTTTGTATCAAGGTAGGAAACCTTTCCGGTCTCACTGTGCCTTTGTATCAAGGTAGGAAACCTTTCCTGTCTCACTGCCTTTGTATCAAGGTAGGAAACATTTCCTGCCTTACTGTGCCTTTGTATCAAGGTAGGAAACCTTTCCTGTCTCACTGTGCCTTTGTATCAAGGTAAAACCTTTTCCTGTCTCACTGTGCCTTTGTATTAAGGTAGGAAACCTTTCCTGTCTCACTGTGCCTTTGTATCAAGGGAGGAAACCTTCCCTGTCTCACTGTGCCATTGTATCAAGGCAGGAAACCTTCCCTGTCTCTCTATACATTTTTATCAAGGCAGGAAACCTTTCCTGTCTCTCTATGCCTTTGTATCAAGGTAGGAAACCTTTTCTGTCTCACTGTGCCTTTGTATCAAGGTAAAACCCTTTCCCGTCTCACTGTGCCTTTGTAAAAAGGTAGGAAACCTTTCTTGTCTCACTGTGCCTTTGTGTAAAGGTAGGAAACCTTTCCTGTGTCACTGTGCCTTTGTGTAAAGGTAGGAAACCTTTCCTGTCTCACTGTGCCTTTGTATCAAGGTAACAAACCTTTCCTGTCTCACTGTGCCTTTGTATCAAGGTAAGAAACCTTTCCTGTCTCACTGTGCCTTTGTTTAAAGGTAGGAAACCTTTCCTGTCTCACTGTGCCTTTGTATCAAGGTAGGAAACCTTTCCTGTCTCACTGTGCCTTTGTTTCAAGGTAGGAAACCTTTCCTGTCTCACTGCCTTTGTATCAAGGTAGGAAACCTTTCCTGCCTTACTGTACCTTTGTATCAAGGTAGGAAACCTTTCCTGTCTCACTGTGCCTTTGTATCAAGGTAAAACCCTTTCCTGTCTCACTGTGCCTTCGTATTAAGGTAGGAAACCTTTCCTGTCTCACTGTGCCTTTTTATCAAGGTAGGAAACCTTCCCTGTCTCACTGTGCCTTTGTATCAAGGTAGGAAACCTTTCCTGTCTCACTGTGCCTTTGTATCAAGTTAGGAAACCTTTCCTGTCTCACTGTGCCTTTGTATCAAGGTAAGAAACCTTTCCTGTCTCACTGTGCCTTTGTTTAAAGGTAGGAAACCTTTCCTGTCTCACCGTGCCTTTGTATCAAGGTAGGAAACCTTTCCTGTCTCACTGTGCCTTTGTATCAAGGTAGGAAACCGTTCCTGTCTTACTGTGCCTTTGTATCAAGGTAGGAAACTTGAGCTCACTATATCAGTCATTGGATGATGAACTCCTGGGTCTAATGTAATGTGTAGTTTAATTATGTATGTCTGATTACTCGTTTCATGAAGAATTCTTGACATTGGCTCCCCTGGCACAAATGTCTTGAAAACTTAAACAACTTCTAAAGAACCACAAACCTGGAAGTTACATAAGATCTATAGCTATGTTGGTGTAAGGGACTGTCTTGATAACTTACCTTATCTCACATTCAAAGTCGGAGGGAACAAAGTGGTGAGTACTGATACCCTAGTACCTGTGTCATTATAGGAGGTACTGATACCCTAGTACCTGTGTCATTACAGGAGGTACTGATACTCTAGTACCTGTGTCAGTACAGGAGGTACTGATACCCTAGTACCTGTGTCATTACAGGAGGTACTGATACCCTAGTACCTGTATGTGTCAGTACAGGAGGTACTGATACCCTAGTACCTGTGTCAGTACAGCAGGTACTGATACCCTAGTACCAGTGTCATTATAGGAGGTACTGATACCCTAGTACCTGTGTCAGTACAGGAGGTACTGATACCCTAGTACCTGTGTCATTACAGGAGGTACTGATACCCTAGTACCTGTGTCATTACAGGAGGTACTGATACCCTAGTACCTGTGTCATTACAGGAGGTACTGATACCCTAGTACCTGTGTCATTACAGGAGGTACTGATACCCTAGTACCTGTGTCATTACAGGAGGTACTGATACCCTAGTACCTGTGTCATTACAGGAGGTACTGATACCCTAGTACCTGTGTCATTACAGGAGGTACTGATACCCTAGTACCTGTGTCATTACAGGAGGTACTGATACCCTAGTACCTGTGTCATTACAGGAGGTACTGATACCCTAGTACCTGTGTCATTACAGGAGGTACTGATACCCTAGTACCTGTGTCATTACAGGAGGTACTGATACCCTAGTACCTGTGTCATTACAGGAGGTACTGATACCCTAGTACCTGTGTCATTACAGGAGGAGGTGTTACTACTGTAACTGGTGAGGCTCTATAACACATTTTTACAAGGCACTTGTGATCTGAAAATAGTGGAAATATTTTCTTATTCTTGTCTTGTTCCAAAAGCACATGTGATACAGGTCACATAGACCTCTTGCTTTCAATAAACTGACAGCTTGTATACCATGACTTTTACATAGTTACTGAAGCAATACTCCAAACTGAAGATTGAGGGTGATTTTGTTATAGCGCCTGTATTGCCTGTATCTGTATGTATCCAGATTCTTCTCAGTACACTGAGTATTAGCTGTCTTCAGAAACTCAAATCTCATACACACCTTTCTTGCCCAAAATGTTTACTTTGGATTGATATTTAAGGTCAAACTTCTAAAGGTCAAGAATACTGTTACTATAAAAAGAAATTCAGATTCTGCACAATATCTTTAGTTCCCTTGATACCAAATTTCCGTGTTTTAAGTGCTAAGGGTATAATGTCGCTCTCTCTACAATGTACAAGTAAATTTAGCAGCTCCTTCAACTCCAAGCAATCTCATCCCTCTAATACACTGGGGGATACGTGTTGCTCTGTCATACTATTGTTATACTGAAACAAGATCAATACCTTAACAGATGCGCCCCTAAACTACCATTTAAAGTATATTGTTTAATGATGGACATCATAGCATTGACAATGATCTCAAAACCAATGAAATGAAACCAGAATATCATATAGAACTGTATCTTTTATGTCACAGAATATATGCAATAGAAAATAATCAAACTGCTAAATGTATAACTGTGTTAATACAATGATAGGATACTTGTACATGTATATCTTGATTATGATGACATTAACAGGTGGTACAGGAGTATGAACGAGCGGTCATCTTCAGACTGGGTCGACTGGTCAAGGGCGGGGCAAAGGGCCCAGGTTTGTACAATATGTATATCATTGTTGCTCTTCTTAGGTTTCCAAAGTCCAAAGGATAAAGAGCTTGTCAAGTCATTGCAAGACAACTCCAAACATCTTATGTCTAATTTGTCAAGTCATTGCAAGACAACTCCAAACATCTTATGTCTAATTTGTCAAGTCATTCCAGGACAACTCCAAACATCTTATGTCTTTTGTCAAGTCAATTTAGTGCATCTCCATACACAGGATTGCATTTGAAATTGAAAAATTAAAACTTGACCTTATTTTAAAGATTGTAACCTTTCTAGACTTTATACACGATCTATATTTCATTCTGGCATTTTTGTTCAGAGTTATGCCCCTTCACATGAATATTTGTCCTGACCACTTTACCTAAAGTGCAGCATAGATTTTAATTAAACTATGAACACTCATAATTTATTTATTCATAGAATTTGTGAATATTGTTAATTTGTCTATTACAAACAATCTTTAGTCCTGAGGAGGTTCAGGGTATCGTCAGTCTGTAGCTTACAGTTCTAGTTTTAACAGAACCTGCATGGCGAGTGACTTCAACAAAAAGATCCCAATAATATCCTTACATCAAATATTGTTTTCTTGTTTAGATTCTGGTCAGAAACCTCATGTCTAAACACTGTTTACATACACAGTCAGAAACCTAATGTCTAAACACTGTTTACATACATGTACACGGTCAGAAACCTCATGTCTAAGCACTGTTTACATACATGGTCAGAAACCTCATGTCTAAACACTGTTTACATACACAGTCAGAAACCTCATGCCTAAACACTGTTTACATACATGGTCAGAAACCTCATGTCTAAACACTGTTTACATAAAGGTGTCATTCTAAACACTGTTTACATACACCAATTCAGACCTGTATGCTATAGGCTGCATACTTCTGTCCCCAAATATCATAAAACAAGTTTAAATAACTTACAATACATGTCACCGTATATTATGACACTGTTCCTGAGAGGTTAAAGGGTAGGGTTAATCACTGTAAAGAACTAGATGTATTATCTGCTGAAGTGGACAGAAATTCTCATTGAATTGGGAACCATTTTTACTACCCTGCCAAATTGGGTTGTCGTGGAGGTAATATATTTAAGACCCTGCTTACTTTGGGTATTTGTCATCCAACTTTGTTTGGTTCAAAGGAAAAATTATGAAAACCAAAATAAATTCAAACTAAATTGTAAAGTCAAGCACATTGCTGATTTCGTAAGTTTAAAAGAACATTGAAAATAAAAATTGTATGAAGATTGTACAATAATATAGAATAATAAAGACTGCTAATGTAAATTTGAGTAAGGTTTTATTAATTTGTGTTGCTTGGTTACAGGTCTGTTCTTCGTCATGCCCTGTATTGATTCCTACACCAAAGTGGACATCAGGACGGTGTCCTTTGATGTACCCCCTCAGGAGGTAAGGGTCTGGAGTGTATCTGGCATCTCATTAAAGTCACTATCATGTAAGGATTAAAATGTTTATTTGTTACATTCATGAAAATATGTACCAAACATATTCTCATGATGCACATTAGTGTCTCCTGGAGGGTATGTTTGAATCACATACCAACATAAATGTGAAAAATATGCATTTCAATCCTTATATTTATGTTCAAAACAAGTTTCCTTTCTGCATCTTTTTTTTGGTCATTTTTATGCATTTTAATAAACTGCTTTACCAATTTGGAATAAGATTCATCAGTTTTGTATGAATAATTAAGGCTAAGTTTGTTGTGAAAAGAAAAAGGAAATTGGAAACTTTCTTTTGCACTCTTTGTTTGACAAAGGAAACAGACGATTTTGAAAGCTCGCAAAACAAGTTTTCAACTATTATTTGTTCAAAACAAGCTTTGTCTTTATGCTTTACCAATTTGTGGACAGACATTTTTGTGAGAACAAGGTCGTGAATGTTACTTATAAATATTGTTTATAAAATTTATGTTGATCAAACCAGAAATGTCCCTAGAGTACTCTGACAGAATCAGAATTGACCTCTAAATCTGCTCTGGTTATTTGACCAGTACCATTGTCAGTCACCTTATTTCAATTAAGAATCCAATTTTGGAGACTGCTTTATATCTTTTATAGTGATATCATAATTAGATATTGTCCGATTCTGTCAGAATATTCCCCAGTACAAATCAATATGATCATCCCCTGAGTGTGGACTGGGACTTGCTGAAGCTGTTAGGTGCTGGGGTCATACATTACTCCAGACATCTAATCGTTTTAGCACTCTTCTGTTTTAGACAAATGTTATCAGTAAGTAGATGTTAAGATACTGGTATCTGACACCGCGCTGACAGATTTATCGTTAAACATATTGCTATCTCCTTCATAGACACAAAGATAACTGTATTCTGAATGTTTACCTGCAAGTTAATGCTATAAACAAACTAAGATTAGCAGAAGGCGTCCAAATAGTAGATTGGTTAGAAAAATCTCAGCTAGGAAGGGAATACAATTTCTACAAATGGTGACAAACCTGAATTTTAAATTGAACTGTAGCCATGAATCGCTACCAATGGCAGCTAGGATTTGCCATTTCAAAGGTTGATAACCCTAACTCTGAGCCTCCCCATTTACTTATATTTGAGATAATTCCCTATCTACTTTACAAGTTGGTGCCTACCCTAAATTTTTATGTACAACTTTTTATCAGCATTGATTAAGTCACTATATATCGACTTTATATAACCTACTATGTATATAACCTACTATGTATAACTGTTATTTAATAAAAAGATATGATAATTTGGTGGTGGGCTTGCCAGTGTCCACTATATACAAACTGGGACTTTAGCTGTAATTTGGTGGTGGGCTTGCCAGTGTCCACTATATATAAACTGGGACTTTCGCTGTTATTTGGTGGTTGGCTTGCCAGTGTCCACTATATATCAACTGGGACTTAAGCTGTAATTTGGTGGTTGGCTTGCAAGTGTCCACTATATACAAACTGGGACTTTAGCTGTAATTTGGTGGTGGGTTTGCCAGTGTCCACTATATATAAACTGGGACTTAAGCTGTAATTTGGTGGTTGGCTTGCCATTGTCCACTATATATAAACTGGGACTTTAGCTGTAATTTGGTGGTTGGCTTGCCAGTGTCCACTATATATAAACTGGGACTTAAGCTGTAAATTGGTGGTGGGTTTGCCAGTGTCCACTATATATAAACTGGGACTTTAGCTGTAATTTGGTGGTGGGTTTGCCAGTGTCCACTATATACAAACTGGGACTTTCGCTGTTATTTGGTGGTTGGCTTGCCAGTGTCCACTATATATAAACTGGGACTTTAGCTGTAATTTTTAGCAAGTTTTGGACCATTTGCGTGCACCTTTCTGTTGAGAAAAACCATGATCCTCATACATAGGCGGTGAAAAACCATGATCCTCATACATAGGCGGAGAAAAACCATGATCCTCATACGTAGGCGGACATTTCCCTGACATCATGCTCTAGGATCTTATTTTACATACTTTAGCTGCATTATGTGTGATACTCCTATCTCCTAGCAACACGGAACTGTCTCCATCCCAGTGTCATAACAGCCTGGTTATCCAGACAAATACACAGCAACTTCACTCCCATTTCACTTAATTAGAGAAGGAGTGACACATGTAGTTATTTTAAGCAAAATGTAGGCTCAGAGATTGAGAATTAGTAAGAAATGGCATATTTTTACAGAATCTTTGAACAGGGGGCTTTGGTTGCATTTAGTAAAAGTACAAGCTGTTTTCATGGCAATAAGAATTACCCAAAATGCAATAATTGCATTTCCAAATAGACTATCTTAGCTCCTCCACACAGTAAGACTGTTTAAGACTGGTTTTAGGATTAATGAAATCTATTAGCTGTAGATACAATTTACAGCCCTGGTCATACATGATGCCTAGAGCCTTTGACATCCCTGGTCATACATGATGCCTAGAGCCTTTGAAATCCCTGGTCAGACATGATACCTAAAGTGTTTGACATCCCTGGTCAGACTTGAGACCTAGAGTGTTTGACATCCCTGGTCAGACATGAGACCTAGAGTGTTTGACATCCCTGGTCAGACATGATACCTAGAGCATTTGAAATCCCTGGTCAGACATGAGACCTAGAGTGTTTGACATCCCTGGTCAGACATGA